TTTATGCTCCTTCAATATTGCTTAGACCTCGCTATATATCACAGATATATAATAAAGCTGGTATATATCTCTGTCTCATCCACTGGACTTGGAGAACCCATACCCTCAGATTCTTGAACTTGGGGTGGACCTGAATAAAGGGAACTTTCCGTATGTATGCCAATCCATAAAATAGGTAATAATAATGTTAACTTACAAAGGTGTACACGTTTTGGGTTAACTTTTCAAAAGATCTTAATAACTGGGTATGAAAGTAACCTCTCATTGAAATGGTGTTAATTTTTCTGTATTTTCACATATTATTTCCTTTGCTGAAACCATGTGGGAAAAAAAACAGAAGTATTCAAAATTTACTACGAGAAAAACATGCCTCTCTGGATCAGCCTAGCCAATAACAATGAATATTAATTTGAATTAATATAAATCATGAATTAAAGGTTCCAGTTGCATTTGAGCTAAATTGCATTGTTTTGCACAAGTCAGAAAACTACTATAATTCAATTATAACCAGCAAAGTCCTCTGGTGTTTATGAGTTTTATACATCCAATGGAGTCAACTGTTTGATGATAGTGAACCTGTCCTAAAAATTACCTACATCTAGTTTTTGATTTCAAATACAATAAAATGTGTTTAAAATACCATTAAAACACTGTACACAACCTGTCCTTAAAGTAATCAAATATATACCAATTAGATTATTAACATTACTTGGTAAAGAGTTACAACTAACTCTGTGAAGTGTTTGAACTGTAGGCAATGGAGTTAGAAACCAAGGAAAAGATCCTGTCATTTGTGGGAAAATGACTGTGTAAGTCTTTTAACTACACTGAGAGTAATATATTATTTACATTTTGACAGATAACTATAAGATAACTGTAAGATTCAACAGCTAACTTAAACTTAGAAACTCAAATGTGGCACTAAAGAAAATGGACAGAGGGAATTGTATTTGTATCTGCCTCATTCTTTTCTTCTCAGTATCCCCATCTCAGCAAATAATAAATCTAGTGGGTTAGGATAAAAACCACACAGTGAGAGCTGTTGCTTCCCCTTCTTTCACATCCAAATCTTGAGTAAATTATGTTAGGTCTGTATTCAGAATATATCCAGAGTGTTCCCACCAGTGTCCTTGCTATCACCCATCCACCTATCCAGTAACTACTAGTAAACAGCTTCTTAAAAAAATAATGTTTGAGGTACTTCAGTACACAGAGAATGGCCCTTTTGGCCTTTACAAAAGAAATAAACTTCTTACCTATCCTGAATCTCACTACAGTGCGTTGTTCCAGGACATAACTGCCAGGGCACCTAAAAGTCAATATTGAGAAAATTAATGGCTAGTAAGATTCTAGCAATAAATAAATAATATTCACCCATGAAAACTTAAACTAAATGATAAAAATCCCAATCTCACTAAGAAATACATTTCGATAAAGTATTACTTTCTATAATTATTCAAAATTATGATATTTATATGTTGATCATCTGTATATTAGTAACAGTCACAATGATTAAAAAAATTTTCCTGGATTGACTTAATTTTAGAACATTAGGACCACAAGATATGGAATAAATATTAATATACACATTTTTTTTTGCTGCAGCAAACAATGATAACCAGTAAGACTTTTATGCCTAAAACCATTCTATATAAGAATAGAATTCTGTAGATCTGGATTTCTTAGTAGCATACCACTACTGACATTTTGGGCTAGTTAATTCTTTGTTGTTGAGAGTTGCTTTGTGTAATGCAGAATGTTTTACAATATCCCTGGCCTCCTCCCACTAGATACTCAGTAGCCCCCACTCCCTAGTTATGATACCAAAAATGTCTCCAGATATTGCCAAATATACCATGGGAGGGAGGCAATAGTCCCTGAGAACTATTGCTGTGAATGTAAAGGACAGAACAGCAATACAGTGTAATACTTATTCAAGCAAAGTGTTAGTTCACTTTTTAAAAATGGATGATGAGTATCAAAATACTATATTTAATTCCATTGCATATATTTAAAGGAGTGACTGCTACCATAAAATGCCATTTTACAATGCACTGGAAATTACATTATTGGCCATTATTTAAACTTATGGGGAAGAGCTTTGGATGTTAGCTTATATTCCATTAGTCAAAAGCATCCTGTAATTTATAGGATAGGTGGGTAATGTACTGTATCACTCACTTACTGATCTTTCTTCAAACCCTAATATAGTACTTAGAACACTCTTGAGTTTCTCTCTTATAGCTCTAAGCCTTTTTGTTTTTTACCTTGAGAAATGTATTAAATTTTTGAACACTATCTATCTTGATAAATGTCTAGAAAACTTAACTGAAGGTATCAAGGCTTTTACACAAATGTAAAATATTTAGAGACAAAGCAAGTATTTTTACATTCAATTTGTGTAGACTGGTAATCTTTTGTATTTCCACTCTTCGAATGATGCCTAGAGAAATCCAAGGATTTGGAGGCTGAGAATAGTTTAAGAACTCCCAAGATCTTGTCCACACACAGTAGCAATTCTTAAATCCTGTTACTAGTCACCTAACTAGTCTCTATTATGGTCCAATTCTCTCAGCTTAATCAGTTTACTGTCAAGGATGCTAACGGATTCATTCTAGCTATAAACATAAAAATGTATGGAGTGTTTTTGTTTTAAAGAATTTTCATATAAATTATCTGGTATTAATCAAACACATCTCCAGGACAGGTAAGAAAGATATTAGAGATAGGAAATTTTTAGTTTAGTAAATGACTTGCCTAGTTTACAATTCAGCAGTGGCAGTAGCAGCAGCAGAGTTGACATCTCCAGACTAATGACACCAAATGCTTTTCTTAGGAAATCCTCATTTGAGATTTTGCTCATAACTTCACATTGTATGGAGTTCTGGGATGCTTGAAGGCAAATTAAATAAAATTACTGCCAGAGGTGGCAGAAAGTCCTTAGCTGTAGAAGCCAAATTTCTTAGTCATTTTATACAAGGCTCTGAAGACTAAATCTTCCAAGTTGTCTGTATTCAATGTAGTATCACTTAAAAATCCCTTCTATGTTGAATATTGAATTCTTATATCAGGAAGGACAATACATTAAACTCAACAGTACTTTGCAAGAGGATGGCTTCTTTTTTTGCAATCAAGTAACTGTTGAGGACGATACAGTGAAGTAAATTTGATAATCCAGAACAGAGGTTTTTTTATTAAGCCCTTGTAGAGTTTATCTATACATGCCAGTTACCAGTGTCTTCTAAAAATCATTGTTCAATCCCTGAAGTGAATTCAGTAAAGCCTCAGATTTTTAGTACCGTATCAGGAGCCACCTTTTTCTCAGAACTACTCCCCATGTTAACTATTCGAGCGCTTAAGCTAAAAAGGGTTCTGTATTTTCAGCTACTGCTAAAGAGCCCGGGTCCCCTAAAACTTATACCAAAACAAGGCGCTATAGTTCAGCATTTCCGAGTTAGTTTTGCAGTCGTGGCGTGAATCCGAGCCAAAGCGCCTGTATGGAGCGCCAGACAGCCCCGAGTCCCCATGGCTACCGCCACAGCAACGCGTCGTAGACCGCGGGCAGGCCCGGGCCCGGAGACGCGGCGGGGCGGAGCCGGGGGGGGGGGGGGGGGGGGGGGGGGGGGGGGGGGGGGAATGGGTGGGCCTGAAGCACCAGCCCGCTCCTCACGGACGGCGCCGGGAAATTCACTTCTGAGACGGAAAAAACGGCTTTAGGGCCGGGCTGTGAAAACAGGCGGGCAGCAAGGCAAACATGCCAACTGCTCATCCCCGATTCTTCGCAGTAGTTAGGGCAGAACTCCCGGCGACACCAGGCCGCGTCGGTTCCCCCTCCATCACACTTTGTTTAACTTCGTTTTTTCCGTACCCGCTTAGGAAATTTAAGATGCCTCCGCAGATAATAACAGACGCCAAAGACGCGGTCCCCAAACCGTCAGCCAACAACTCATACCTTTCCCACGTTTTCACCGCAAGGCCCGCCCCCGACCTAGAGCGCGCTGGCCTTAAGAGACGCGATCTCCCGCCAGGCGTGCCTTGTCTCGCCCCGCCCCCAGGCGCGCTACCCACCCTGGTCAGAGGCGAGGAGCACGTTGCCCCGCCCCCTCTGCCTCCGCCCGGCGTGAGCAGTCCGGTGAGTGAGGGGGTGGCAATTCTGCAATTTTTCTTTTGGCCCCTCTTACAGGACCGTTTCCATCATGGCAAAAGAGAGGCCCCAGTAAAACTCAACAATCACAAGAGGTTAACCGTTAACTAAAAGTCATTTTACCAGATCTCACCAGCTATCCCTCCTCCAAAAGCTCGAGCTCCGCCCCCAAGGAGCCGGCCCCCAAAGCCACCCCCGCGGGCTCGCGCTTACGCTTTCCGGGCGGCGCGCGACGCGCTCGCTCCGCCCCACCAGCCCCGCCCCCTGGCCCCCTCTCCCTCTCTGGAGAGCCGGCGCGTACGAATCGGGGCGTGAGGCGTCAGGGACGCGCGGGCACCTCATCCTTCCCACCTTCCTACACTGTTGCTACTTTTCGCTGTGAGACATTCCAGCTTCTCTTCCCCTTCCGTGAGTCCCTTCTTCCCTCTCCTCAGAGACCCCGCTCGCCCCACAGGCGGCCGCCGCCGCAGCTCTCGCGCCCCCGAGCGAACAGTGCGCGTGCGCGCGCGCGGACGCGCGCCGTCGGGTCCCCGCGCTCCCTCCCCCTCCCGCTCCTCTATAACTTGGTTGGCGTGAAGGAGGCGCCGCCGGAGTCGGAGGGCGGGGAGCTCGGAGGAGGGAGCTCGAGAGTTGTGGAGTCTAGTGACTGGAAGAAGTCGCAGCCTGCTTTGGTCGGCTCCTTCCCGCTCCCCTTTTTTCTCTCTTACACACCTACTCCGCCTCCTGCCCCAGCCCGCGACCTCGCTCCTTCTCTCGCCCGGGGGCCCCAGCCGGTCGCTCTTCGGGTTTCGGCGCGGCGGGGGCGCCCACGGGGTGCCCTCGCCCTCCGGGTGCGTGTGGACGGGCGGCGGGCGGGATGTGGCGCCTGGTGCCCCCGAAGCTGGGCCGCCTGTCCCGCTCGCTGAAGCTGGCGGCGCTGGGCAGCCTGTTGGTGCTGATGGTGCTGCACTCGCCGTCGCTGCTCGCCTCCTGGCAGCGCAACGAGCTGGCCGACCGGCGCTTCCTGCAGCTCAATAAGTGCCCTGCGTGCTTCGGCACGAGCTGGTGCCGCCGCTTCCTCAACGGACAGGTGGTGTTCGAGGCGTGGGGCCGCTTGCGCCTGCTGGACTTCCTCAACGTGAAGAACGTCTACTTCGCGCAGTACGGCGAGCCCCGCGAGGGCGGCCGCCGCCGAGTGGTGCTCAAGCGCCTCGGCTCGCAGCGCGAGCTGGCGCAGCTCGACCAGAGCATCTGCAAACGGGCCACCGGCCGACCCCGCTGCGACCTGCTCCAGGCCATGCCCCGCACCGAGTTCGCGCGCCTCAACGGCGACGTGCGGCTGCTCACGCCGGAGGCGGTGGAGGGCTGGTCCGACCTGGTGCACTGCCCCTCGCAGCGCCTGCTCGATCGCCTGGTGCGCCGCTACGCGGAGACCAAGGACTCGGGCAGCTTCCTGCTGCGCAACCTCAAGGACTCGGAGCGTATGCAACTGCTGCTGACCCTGGCCTTCAACCCCGAGCCGCTGGTGCTACAGGTAGGCGCGGAGCCCGGGTGGGGGGCGTCCTGCCGGGAAGGGCCGCGCGGGCGAACTGGAGTCGGAGAAGTGGCTACACCCGCGCTCGTTGCCCAGTTTGGACCCGGCCCGGCTGGGCCAGCCTGCGGGCGTGGGAAGGGGGCGGCCCTGGGGGACCCTTGGGCACTGTGTCGGATTGCGGAGGGCGACCTGGCTGGTGGAGAGTCTGCTCTTGGCACCTAGACTCGAGCGCATCTTGGATTTGACTGCGGATCCTTTAAACACCAGAGGGAGCGCGTCTTGTACGTTCCCAAAATGTCTCTCTTGTGAGTTTCCTTGGGCTCTTCTCCCAGCCTTTCTGCTTTTATCAGCCGGGGTTTGCGCTTCCACGGCGCAGTTTGTTCATGAGCCCTTGGATCTTTCTTAGTTCTCAAGTGTTTCTGTACCGCGTTTGCTCTCCCCTTCAGTACTCTTTGTGGCTGGTCTAACTTCGCCCCCAAAATCTTTGTTTTATTCTTTAACTCATTTATGTGGCAGCTAATTTGAGGAAAAGCTGGGGAATGGAGACTGCGGTCAGGGATGAGGTTAATCCATAAATCGTGCTTTGAGTGGGACTAGGAAGGGCAGAAAGTAAGGCATCTTTGGACTTGGACTGGGAGGGTTTGAGGCCAAGACCGACATTTTCATCCTGATTCTGTGACCTGCCGTATTCATGTAGTAATTTGACTGCAGGAAGAAGATGACATGTTAGGCCAGGGTGAGAAACAGGGGAAGGAGATTCTCACCTCTGGTCCAGTTGAGTTATTGGCTCTCACGCGACTTTATTTTGAAAACAAACGTACATTTTAGGGGCGAGTAGGTTGGCATCTTCTTACTGGTGACCGCAAAAAGAGAAAACAAAACCCGAAAAACTGTTGACCATTGGAGTAGTTCCTGAATTTCTACACATTCCCACCCAGCTTCAGTGCGGTGTCCTTGGATAGTGGTGACTAATGTGGGATTGTGATCCCTCCTGTAATTGCAGGAAAGTTACCTTGCTCCTTTTCCATGCCTGTTTTGCTGTTTATCTAATACAGGGTGGGGAGGATAACTTAAAATTAATCACAAGTAACTTTGTTATGCTTCATTCTCTTTCTGTTCTGCTGAGATTGTCACTAGTGGGGGGTGTGGTTGTACAGGATTCTTGGTTTTCTTTTGTTTTTTTAATCTGAAGCGCGTGAATAGGAATATATGGTATTCATTTATATTTCTTTTCTCAAGTTCTCCATCACCCAACTTAGCTAAGAGAAACCAGCTTCGTTTAATTAGTTCAGCCAAGTAATTTTAACACGAAGTAAATACTTTGCCTCAAGACTTTAGTGTGAGTGTTCGTAAATTTTAAGCTGTCATAAGATGTATGTAACGAATCACATAGAAAGTACAGATTGTATATTAAACACTGCTCTCTTTAACAATGAATGGTATATAAAATTTAGAGGGTAAACTTCCCTACAAGAAATTATTTTACCAAATAATTTCAATAAAAGCAGTCAGCCTGTGAAGCTTAAGTCCTCATTTATATACATTTGATTTGAAACTTTTTTTCATTTATCTTTTTTCTTTGAGAAATAGATGTTTATATTAGGAAGGAGATGTTTATATTAGGAATGTTGGTCCTTGTAGAAAGCTTCAGCAGTGTATTTGCAGATAGTCTGTCAAGATTTAGTAAGGAGCTATCTTAGTACACATTTTCTCACTTGTAATAGAGGGTGCCTGTTGAAAGATTTTTATCAGGTAATTATGAGTATTGATGTATTAGAATCAACAAATACTAGGACTAATGTTTTAATAACATTATCCACTGCTTTATAAAAATATCTTGGCATTCATTTTGCACTATGGTAAGTCTGCTTTATATGAGAAGCTTTTATATTTTTTGAATTTTGAAGTTGTCTTGACATTTTCAGTTTACTTTATAGTTGAGATAGCCAAGTGTGCTTGTATCTTGTTTTCTGATTAACTCTTCCCTCAGACTTAACTCTTTCTCTGTTTTCATCTTTAGCAATAAACAACTTTAAAAAAATCAGTTGTGTTCTTGTAATTTAAACTTAGTGACACAATTGCTCTGATCTGGTGGGTGGGTGAGAGATAGGTTATGGGATAAGAGTTTGTTTTTAGTATGTGAGGACATGTACTTATCAACATTGTTAATTTTGACTTTTGTATTTGCATTTTAAATTCAGGCAACCTAGCTCTCTAACTATTGAGTGATATGAGAAATATAAATTTGAGGTCCTTAATACCAGTCATTCATATTGTTGTTTTTTTTTTTTTTTAACACGATGACAAGCAAGTTGAATAAGATTTATTTTTAAATAAGAAATTTTCCTAGAGCTGCTACTTTCTTTATAGAACCCTTTCCTCTTTTGGAAAAAAATAGTGAGTTAAGAAGTATGAACAATGTAATTAAGGTTTGATAATGGTATAAAACCACTACAGTGAAAGGAGTCTTAAAATTCTGTGATTAGGTACAAAGATTGTTACACACTAAGTCAATGATGTTTAATTACTTTCTGTTAACTAGACAAACAAGTACAATTTTGTATTTATATAGTTTCTATAAAACTTAATAGCCATTTATGATAGTATGTGGTATTAATAATGATAGAAAATTTGGCTGTATAGATGTACTTTTTGGTTCATGTATTTTAAAAAATATTTTTAAAGATCCAAGCATGTATTTTACAGCATGAAGAGGAGCTCACATTTTTTTTTTTTTTTTTCCAGGAGAGGGAGCTACTTATTGAATTTTTGGACAGTTGGTCACAAATTAGATTTTTCTTATATTGTCCAAAAACTACTTTGGAGAAAAACAAGTATTTTGAACTGACTTCATCAAACTGCTCTTAACAAAAGTTCCAGTGTGGTAAACATGCTTCCAAAATAAATATTTGAACCAAAACATGTATGTAAATTTAGCCCATTAAAAATCGCCTCTTCTGATGTTAAGAAACAACAAATTGAATTTTCTATTATGCCTTGAAAGAAGACATGAAAGGTATTAACAGTCTGTAAGACTTATTACACTCATACCTTATGTATGTAAGGCTATATAGATTTGTAACACAGCCTTCCCAGTATGAAATAGTATGAAAGTACAACTCCCTTCTTATTGTTGGATAGCTTTACTAGCCCTTACAGCAGCTTATCTAGTTCAAAGGAAGGTTTTCAGCCATAGGATTATCATCTTCTAAAAAAATTTTGTGAACATCAAGTAACAAAATGCTAGAACCTTTATCTTCTACTCTGATACTTTTTCTTTTCACAGAAAAGAATGGAGAGAGGAAAAATGGAGAGTGGAAAAAAAATGGAGAGAGGGAATTATTTATTCTATATTTTTTTATTAATTTTTTTAATGTTTGTTTATTTTTGAGAGAGAAAGAGACAGAGCATGAGCAGGGGAGGGGCAGAGAGAGAGGGAGACACAGAATCAGAAGCAGGCTCCAGGCTCTAGGGTCTGAGCTGTCAGCACAGAGCCCGACGCAGGGCTGGAACCCACGAGCCTTCAAGCTGTGAGATCATGACCTGAGCTGAAGTCGGCCACCCAGGCGCCCCAGTTTATTCTATATTGTTAATAGCATTCTTGGAATATTGGAAAATCAAGATGTTAAAAGTGTTTGGCAAGATGGCAAGATGTTTTCTGTTATTTTCTTGGTAAATTTTCTACCAATATTTGTAGTTCCCTATTCTTGAGTTTATAGAAGCTGTGTGTTTGTTAAAGAAAAATGCTGTCTGGATTTCCTGAAGCCCAAACTGTATAGCTGACTTGACCTAGAGATAGTGATGATAGTCTTACTTACAGAAATAAAGAAAGCTCATGTTTGTGTAGTATGAAGGAAATGGAAATTTGTTTCACTACATTTGTAGAACTTTTTCCTAAATTTCCTGCATCATGGGTTTAATAGGAGTTCCTTAATTTTTACAGTATGTAACTGTCACTTACAGTGTGGGTTTTTAACTTTTATTTCAATTCTTGTACATGACATAATACATGCGAAACACATTATATAGTGCCACATGCCTAGTAAGCACTCAATAAATATTAGACATTAAATAAGGTAAAAGTAACTGTATCTAGTGTATTTGACCAGTTGGTTTGAAGTTTGGTTGGAATATGGATCACTTTAAAGGTAGTTATTAGACTATAAGCCATTACTTATTTATACTAATTTAGTCCATTCCTATATTACAGGATGAATTTTTACAGAAAACTTTGAATGTTATTTTGTCCTTGACAAATCCTTCTTAAAGGAAAAATATTTTTAATGTGTACTGCCTAATATACAGTTTTTGAAGTAAACAAAAGATTATGGTCATTTAACCAACTGTCTTACTTTGGACAAATTGATAAACTTCTTTATGGGACTCGCTTACCTACAAAATGAGGCTATTGGAGTAGGTCCTTTTCCTTTTTAGCCTCAATAACTGTGAGTCTCACACTCTTGACTTGAAAAATTATTCTTTTTCTACTTCTTTTCTAAGCTTGACTTTAACTGGTAATTTTAAACTTCTAAAAGAGGATTGGGGGTTTTGGTGCTTGGTCCCTTCCTGGTAAGAGGGTATGAGACCAGGTTGGAGAACCCTGTTTCAAGCTTGCCTTCCTCCCCAATTTTTACATAGCCACAATCAGTTTCAAACAAAATGAACAAAAACAAAGATTGCCTTTAAAGGGAAAAAATACAGAGCTAAATGTAGCCTAGTGTCTTGTGGGGCAGTAGCAAAGTTTTGAAAGGATGTTCCAGACTGTCTCGGGAGTTTCTTTGCCAAGTAATAGCTTAGGGAGCCACCTACTTCTCTCCCACTAGATACAATTGTGGTAACTGCATTCCCAGATTTAGTGTTCAGAGATGTTTCTGACTAGGTAGTTCTAAATAGAGCACTTTTTTTATCTAATTCATAACCTTAAATCTAGAGGTTTTATTGTTTTTCTGCTTTTTTTTTTCCTCAGGTTGCATCAACACTTGATGAAAAAACTGAAATAA